ACGAAAAATAAAGCCTTTTCCGAAAGATCCCTTATCCCTCTTGAAATAAGGGATAAGGGATCTTTCAGAAAAGGCTTTATTTTTCGAAAGATCAGCGTCTAGACTGGCGCTTTTCTCCGGCAAAGCTCCATGCCGAAAAAAAGCGGCAGCCATTTTTATGCTAATGAAGCACGGTAGATTTAAATCCCCGCTTCATTAGCAATTGCGATACGTCTAATTTACATCCTTTTTCCGAAAAAGGGATGTAGTCTAGATGTAGCTTCTGGGTATATTCTCCACTTGTGTACCTGAGAAACTCCCACAAAGGCTATACATATATCTCATCATCATTAGTGAAGCTTTACTAAATTTGTTGTGATTATTTGAATCAAAGTTGATTTAGTGTAGCACTTAATGTCTGCCTTTCAGTTCCAGTCAAATAACAGCATACATTGAATACCTTTCCTCCTCTTCTTTCCTCCTCTTCTCCTCCTCTTTCTGTTTCTTCTCCAGGAGCTGTCTATAAATACGTCGAGCAATTTGGCCTCGCAGCTGCTTCTGGAAGGTTATGGCAGCTTTCTTCAGGTGAAGGAACTGTCTCCTTAGAAGGAATGCCCTGTAGTTCTTCTGTATCACAACCACATAGTAAAGCACCTTTTTATAATGCTTTCTGAAAGAAGACAGAAAGAGGTTCTGTATAAACAGGGTTAGACTAACAACTACTGTATGTTTCTGTGTAACTGGCCTGCATTAAAGAGTCCATGATAATAAAAAGCACAGAGGTTTTAACTTTGGTCTTGTGACAGATTTCCCATTATGGTTTATGTTATCTCTCCCTAAAAAGTGAACAAAGACTTTCTCTGAGAGAGCTAGCTATATTTTGACTCAGTAAATACATGCCACCCAGCCTTACATTTTTAATATCCCCTGACAAGGAGATGTTGTTAGAAACTACCAGGGTTTTTTATATATCCCACACTCATTAAAAGAAAAAAAATCACACATAGCTGGATAACTTTGTCCTTAAAAAAGAATTGTTTTTGTTTTATGTGATTGTGACTGGGTGTTTACCCTGCACTGGCCTTTTTAAGGCAAAACCCCAGCCCTGAGCAAGGGCTGAGAGCAAAGCCCCAGTTGGGGGCTATATATAGAAGGACTCCTGGAGGAAGAAGGAGAACTGACTGCTGCTCTGGAGAGAAAGCAGCAGGGACCTGACTGCCAGGGAAGCAGGAGGCTTCCTGGAGGCAGGGCCGGCCCAAGCCCTCTTGGCGCCTTGGACCCAGGCACGCAGCGCTGCCCCTGGGAGCAGAGCGCATGTGCGGGCCTGCCCCCGGGGTGCGGGCCCACCCTCCAGGGGGGCGCAG